GAGCGCAATGATGGTGCCAACTTGGGCCAGTGAAGCAACGTCCTCCACAACTAGACTGAAGAACAAAACAACAGCAGCTTGTCTGTTCCCCTTCCTCCAATTCCCCAACACTGTTCCCATCCCCCCAATTCCCCAATAAAAAATCTTTAAAAAAAAAAAAAAGAAACGGAGCTAATGGTTACTATTTCCTCCCCTGGCCACCGTTTAACGAACATTACTAGCAAGCAACAGAATTTTCATCTCAGTCCTGCCTAGTCTAGTGGGAGTGCTAACAAGCAAGGAACAGTAGAATCAGGAAGAAATCAGCAGAGCTGACTAATCAGTAAGCTACCAATGAAACACCTAGAGGTGCCCTGACCCGGAGTTGGCCCCCATCAGTCGGGGACAGCTCAGGCCATCTCCTCTGTGCTTGGCCCCACCTGGCTGAGTCCACCTGGGAAGCCTTCCCTGCACCCTTACCTGAGTGCAGTTTTGTTGTCTGGATGTTCAGGAAAGTAGCTGGTGAGGAACTTGCTTGAAGGTTAATAAAGCTGGGGGAGGGTCTGGCGCGACAGAGAGGCACAGCATCACCTTCCTCTTTGGCTGGAATACAATCAGAGGCACAAGTATTCAGCTCATCCCGGCAAGGGACGGCCTTTCTAATCAGATCCCTGCAGCTGGACTACCAGCGCGGGGGGCCGAGGCTCTGCCCTGAGTCACTTCAAGGAAAGTTCTATAAGGCACACAACAGAGAAACCAGAGTGGGCCGAAGAGGAACCAAGCAGAGGGTGTGGGATAAGCTAAAATCTCACCAGCTTCCCTTTTACAAACTCTTGTTACATGTGCTTCACGTTCACCAGTGTGCTAGAGCCTACAGCACACATGAGGTGTCTAAGACGCAGTTTCCTAGGTGCTTAGTATCTGATTAGCGGGACAATCCCAATGCTGAGGAGATGGTGATATCAACACAGGGACACAGACAACGAGTCTGACAGTCCAGGGTGGAAGTAAGGCCTCCTATCTTTTAGTTGTACTAAGTATGTGAGTAAATGTGAAAATGAATGTTTTTTGAAAAGGGGGAAGAGATTAGGATGAGAGGACTCCAGGCAGGTGGAGGATGTTTATTGGACCTTCAACACAGGAAACTTCTGATGAGTGGAAAAGGTATTTCAAGTGGAGACAAAAGGATCGGAGAGCAAAGGGACGGACGTAAGCATTTCGCCAGAATGACGAGCCCTGGGAAACTGGCCAGAATTAGGGGTAGGGAGGTGGGAAGGCAGGATGGGCCACGCAAGACCCACTACAACAGCGAGTCGGGGATTTTAGGCTTTCGCCTGAACACAGTGGAAAGCCTTTGAACCGTTTAGGATTAGAAAGTATGATTAAAATTGAATTTTAATTAATCTATAGGTATTAACATGGGTTGGACATTGGAAGAAGTTCTTAAATGGGAAAATAGAGAACATTTGGCAAAAATAGTTAAGTTAGAAGGAAAAATTGATTTGTTGGAAGATGATGATGAGTCCTATTGAAGACATGTAATTTTTGTCTACTGAACAACCCTTCCTCTGGGAAATGATCCTGTCCCCAGATTCCAGGCCACACTGGTGGGGCTGCATCAAGGCCCTCTACCCAACAAAAGAGAGCACGTGACCCAGTCATTATCCCATCCTCCTTGGCAACTGTGACTGGTCCAAGGGGAAAGGACAGGGGATAAGTTGGGCTGGAGTCATTCTCTGGGATCGATATCTGGATTCTGTGTCAGAGAAGCTTGCTTGCTTCTCAGGTGCTGTGCTGCGGAGATGTAACGTTGGGGCCAATGAACGCTACAGGATTTGGCCATCGTGTCAGGGGACACAGGTACAAGTAAGAGACGAGAAACCAGGAGGGAGATGGATAGACAGAACCCTCAGGCACTGCACCCCGGTTCCAGGGCCCGAGGCCCTGCTTTTTGCAGCTTTTCTTCCTGTTCTGTGACTGTCTCAGCCTCCTTCCCGACTGCACCAGCCTCTGAATTTCTGACTAGACAATAACAGCGGATGAGGTTGGGAAGAAGCAAAAGGAGGCAGAACAGAATAATGATAAAAATAATGAAAAAAGGGGCCGGCCGAGTGGCTCAGTTGGTTAAGAGCTCGCTCAAGAGTTTGAGCTCTGAGCAACAGCAGTTTGATGCCTGGCCCGAGCTGAGCTGCCACTGAGCTGCCAAAAGGTGGCAGGATGGCTCAGCTACAAATAAAAATAAAAAGATAATGAAAAAGGGTGCTTTCCATACATTATCTCATAAAATTGTCATAATGGCCCTATGAAGTCAGTAGCTTTAGCCACATTTTATTTGAGGAAACTGAAGTTAGGAAATTCGCTCCAGATTCCACAATTAGCTTGTGGCAGTGCTGGAAATAAATCCAGGCCTGTCAATTCCAAAGTCATGCTCATGCTCGCTGCACAACACGCTCTGTGCCAAGAGCTAGTTCACTGATGTCCAAGCTATGACATAGCAGGCCTCTCAGATAAAGTACTCGACTCCACCCATGGTTAAGTAGGTAGACAGATGGCCTCGGGCATTTCTCTGGCCACCAGTGGAGCTGCCCTGCTCAAACTGAGTTATCTGTTCACTCTAGATGACACTATGTCTTCTGGTACCCTGTACATAAAGGCTTGTTCTAAGTATTAAGAGAAGACACAAAGGAAGAATACTATACTCATTCAACACATAATTATTGAACACTTATAATTTAACAGGTCCTGTTCTAGGTGCTGGGAATACAGCCATGTTCCCATGTAATGGGAAATGCAGAACAAAAACAAATACTTCCCAATTCACCAAGTAACAGGAAAAAAAAACCAACTAGAATAATTTCCCCAAATGCGGGGCAATGAAGGTCTGGCTTTTAAGGGAGCGGAAGCAAGGCCTCCGACACACACCTTTTCTGTTAGGATGGCCAGCACGGTGTTCCATCTGAGCACCAACAGATGTGTTTCCTGATGCCTGGAAAGAAACATAGGGTCATGGGATCAACAACCACGCTATTATTTTACTGTTGACCGTTTCGTAAGTTCTCTCCAGCACATTTCAGGCTGTTCCGATTTGGGGAAGAAAACGTGTGAAAGGGTGTATTCTTCTATTTCATGGCCAAATGTAAGTGACTCTTCTTGGATTGTTTGTACTCTCCTGGTCCCTTCATTAGTTTGGAACACAGCTGTTTCCATTATTATTGCTTCTTTTTTTTCTGGACAAAATAGTAATTCAACCAAACCCAAACCTTAAGAGTCTCCTACGAACGGGCAATTACTCCAGTAAGGTAATTTAAAAGCTCTGACTCCGGTCATCTCTAATGGACCAGCCGTTGAGTGGATGTCAAGAGGGCAGGGGAGGCAACGGGCGTGGAGAAAAGAAAATCTCAAAGCCCTACGAGGAACCCTTGAGGAAATGTTTTGGATGGACTAACTCGGAGGGGGGGGGGGTGTGGAACCATCGCTCTCTGGTACCGCTCACAGCTTCAGTCAGTAGAAAGAATTTGCCTAAGAAAGGTAAGGTCCCCGCACAGCAAGGAGTCCAGAGGAAATAAACCACAACTCCCAGCATGCCCGACAGGACTACAACTCCCACGTCACCCGCAGCCAACCCGCCAGGTCTTCCCTCAACTGCCGGTTGAAGTCCCGCCCGTTTACCCCTCCCCGTAGCTAAGGCTGGGCGAAAGAATGGTGGCAACTGCCACGCCTTTCTTGATCTTCGCGGCCTGAGAAGAACTGGGGTGCAAGCCAGTCTAATGACATCACCTGCGGTGTTAATTGAAAGCCACAACCCCAGCGTCCTCCCTTGTAGTTGAAACACGCGCAGCGGCGTGCCGGCCAACTGCCCGAGCCTTGGCGCTTGCGCCGAAGTTCGCGCCGCACGCGGCCGGGAGCGGCCACCCTATTGCGCAAGCGCCGTTTCCATCCTCGCGCGCTCTCTATCAAGCTTGCCCTGCCGTTCTTGCGTAGGGGGCGGGGATGAGAATCCCAATTGGCTTGTTTTCGTGCCGGTCAGTGAGGCGGGTGCGCTGATTGGCGGAGGCCCGGGAAGTAGCGGGTTTAGGTGTAAGCCCCGAGGAGGCAGCGTTTTCTGGGCTTCTCTCAGGTTCTCTCTCCAGAAGCTTCTGCCGGTTCCCCAGCTCTGGGTACCGGGCTCCGCATCGCGCCGCCATGATGGGCCATCGTCCCGTGCTCGTGCTCAGTGAGTTGTGGGGAAGCCGGGGGAGGGACCCCGTTTTCGCTCCTCGTGGGTCTGCACTTTTCAGGGCTGCCCCAGCCCAGCCCAGCCCCGCCGTGGTCCGGCCACTGAGCCCTCCGGTCATCCTCATTTTGGAAGCCCCGTCTCCCGCTCTCCTGTCATCCCTCAGCCCGCTCCGCTGTCTTCACAAACGCAAACTGACCTTGCCCTCTCCGAGCCCCTTGTCTCCACGGCGACTCGCCCCCACCCGGCCTGCCCTTCGCCCCCTGCCCCCTTCCATGCGTGATTTTCAGCGTGGGAAACGGAGAAGGGTTTTTTGGCTTGGCCTCGCCTTCCAGCCTTGGTCTCTCTCTCAGTAGCGGGCATGGCCTCGGCCAAATCGCTTCAGTGTTTCCATTTGTGGTGTTGGGGTGAACGGTACTGCCCCCGTAGAATCGTGGGGATCAAATGAGATAAGGAGCCAAACAGCAGGTGGTGTATGTATCCTCGGTCACTTTTCGGCCACAGCCCTCCTGAATTTCCGCCCCGCAGCCCCTCCCTGCCCCTGAAGCTCCGTTTCCCTCCCCATTGGTCTGTCGGAGATGGGATGACTCCCTTAGTGTCGCCTGCGTGGTCATCCTTGCCACCAACCAACTTTGAGTTTTCCCAAATTTCCTTACTGGTTCTCCTGAGCCTTGGGAACATCCCCCGTTTCTTTCTGGCCGATGAGCCCCTCGTCCATTGTGTGTGTCCGTTCAGTGTGTCGCCTCTGGGCCATCAGCGGACCGCCTAAGCGGCCCACCTCGCCGTAGCTGCTCCTGTATCCCGAATGCCGTTCAGAGGTTTCAACCGTTTTCTCTACACCTGGGAAGATAACTATTTGCAAAGGGGGGGGGGGGGAAATTGGCTTAACCAGAAAAACACTTAAACTTTTTCTGATGAATCCATGCGAAAGGTTCGCGCAGGGTGTTACTCACCGCTGCCTGAAATAGGCATCTAAAGCGTTGAGAGTTGTGAATGTTTAGATTGGATGAGATTTAAATAGTAGGCGAGGAATGTATAATTTGGAGAGGGGAAGGAGATGAGCGTGCGTTGGTTTGGGGATAGACGGCTGGCTTGTCTGCACTGAGGGCCCTGGGGTGAGCGGTGCATTTTGAAGCCTGTTTCAGATCTGCGTTTCCCCCTGGCCTCCGTGGCTGTAACCCAGGGGGCTCCCTGTCAGAATGGGTGGCAGCTCTTACTGATGGTAAATGGGCCACTGAGGCTTTCTTACTATAGCCGTGCCTTGAGTGGCAGTAGCTTGCAAACTGGGACTCAGCCGAAGCGTGTTCTCGTTCCACAGCACACTGGGGGGGCACTATCCGTAATTATGCTGCGACTATCAAGGGTGTGATTCTCCCTCTCCAAGCAGGAAAATATCGAACCCCCAAACTCCCTTTTATATAAAGCAGTGATTTGTGCTTTTTTAGGGTCACCGGCCTTTTGAGAATCGGATGAGAGGCCACAGATCCTTTTCCCAGACGAAGCTCCCATTTTCTCGTATAATCTCAGGGGTTTCACTTTGCCACTGAGGCCTATGCGTGAATCTCAGGTTATGAATCCATGCTGTCAATACATGGATGTTTGGTTAGAGGGAAAGTGATAACCAAGATCCCAAAGTTGAAGCATTATCGGTTGCTTCTAACCGTTTTTTGAGGTGTAATTCTACAATAAGTTGCACATATTTAAAGTGTACAATTTGATCAGCTTTGATCTACGTATACACCTATGAAACCTATGTATTTGTTTCTATTTTCAAAAGTCAGGATTATATACAATGGGACAATCCTGCGCTGTTGTCTTTTATCTATTTTAGGCCAGAACACAAAGCGTGAATCTGGAAGAAAAGTCCAATCTGGAAACATCAATGCCGCCAAGGTAGCCTATCGGTGAAATTGTTTAAAGTGTGGTGGTTTTCCTCCAGCTGCCTTCTCTAGTATTTCTGTATCTGTTTGCAGTTAGAGGAAAAGTCGGCATCCCTTCTTTCAGGTCATTTCCTGGATAGTGGTAGAGAGAAGGAAGCCCTCTCTCTGCATTAGGCCTAAGCACCTTCTCGGATTGACGTAATTCCACTGCTGTGTATGTTCTGTTATAATAATATCCTATTTGTGTCTGTCTGTTAGACTGAGTTAGTTACTTGCGGGGAAGCACTGTATGTATTCCCTCGTGTATCCCTAGTGCCCACTGTAGAGCCCAGATAGGTATTCAGTATCTTTGGAATAAAAAGCCCTGGGTCTGGTTTAGCATGGTGTGGCCGTCACTGTCATGGAAAGAAATGCTAAGACATGGACTTCCATTTATCTGGACTGCTGGGAAACCAAAGCTCTGGAAGGCATGTCCCCGTTTTTCTTGTGAAAAGTCATATCTTTCTGCCGCCACCCTGAACGCATTCCCAAAGGGGAAAACAAAACGGAATCTGGCCACATGGCGTGCAGCATCTAAGGTGCTTGCCTACCCCACTCTGGGGGTCACTCGTGCCCCTTTCCTAACTGTCCTCTGGCTTGTGCTTATGCGTTTATATTTCCTTTCCACTAGACCATTGCCGATATCATCCGAACATGTTTGGGACCCAAGTCCATGATGAAGGTAGGCTTATCTCTTACTGAAAGCCTTGGGCTACAGAGTTTCCCTTCCTGTGATCTGGAAAACTTAAATATAACTTTTGCTTTTGTCCTAGATGCTTTTGGACCCAATGGGAGGCATTGTGATGACCAATGATGGCAATGCCATTCTTCGAGAGGTGTGACCTTTCATTATGCTTTAACACCTTTATAAGGGACCTGTAAAGATATATAGATGATGACTAGTTTCTTAGGGCTGCTGGAACAAATTACCAGAAACTGGGAGGCTTTAAACAGCAAAAATTTATTCTCTAGACTGGAGGCTACAAATCTGAAATCAAGGTGTCAGCAAAGCCGTGCTCCTTCTGAAGGCTCTAGGGGAGGGTCCTTCTTGGCCTCTTCTAGTTTCCGAAGGCTGGTCTTGGCCTTGGCCATCAGATATCCTTGGCCTTCCTTGGCTTGTGAACTCAGCCTGCTTCTCATTTGTCATGTGGCAGTCTCCTGTGTCTCTTACTATAAGGACATCAGTGGTTGGAGTTAGGGCGTACACTAATTCCGTATGACCTCATCTTAACTTGATTACATCTTCAATGACCCTATTTCCAAATACAGTCACATTTATAGTTTCCAGCGGGTAGGACTTCATGTCTTTTTGGAGGACACAATTCAACCACAATAGTGGTACTCCCAGTAATATTGTAAAAGATACTGTTCTGTTCTCAGAACAGTCAGCATAATACATTTTCCCCAAAAGGAAAGGGACTTGGAAAGGTGGTTTACTTAGATATTTTGGGGGCCACTTTTAATCGTTCGAGCTGTGGTAAAACAAGGGAAAAGGGACTAAGTATGGAAGCAAGGAGCTTAAGGGTTAGGGTCACACAGTGGTAAGAGGGGCGTGAATGGTGTTGAGTCTAGTGGCAAGCTACATGTTTCTTTTCAGATTCAAGTTCAGCATCCAGCAGCCAAGTCCATGATTGAAATTAGCCGGACGCAGGATGAAGAGGTTGGAGATGGGACCACATCAGTAATTATTCTTGGTAAGAGAAGAATGGAAGGTTGATAAAATTAGATTGAAACTTGAAGATTTTTGCCAGAAATAATGTCTGTGTCGTATTTTAAGAAGGACATTGTTACCAATCCACTAATTACAGATATTAAATAACTTGTTAATTACCTACGTATTTCCTTCAACTGAGTATAAAACATTCATCAATAGCATAGGATGAGCTGTGTAAATCTGGTCGAATAAAATACGGTCGATTTTTGTTAGAGTAAGCAATGTTCTATGAAGTCGCCACAAACTGAATTAGCGAAGGCTAAACCTAGGGGAAATACGGGATTAGGTTCCCGCGAGCCTCTGGTCACATTCTTCAATTGAGAAATATATACCTTATTTTATGTGTTGTAGTAAACACACTTTTATCTAATAATATTGTTGGTTCATTAACATTGAGCTCGTGGCCAGTAGCACTACAACTCTTGCCTAAACAAAGCTTATCTAATGATTTCTCTGTAAGACACGTCACAGCTTTGTTCCATTTAGGAAAACTAGACCACACTTTAGTGCTACACTTGGGGGCCATTTTGAACAGTGAAATCACCAACAAAATGCACAAAAATGTGAAAAACGTGGTACCAAATGTACCACGCAAAGGAGGCTTGTTTATAGGGAGAGTTAAAGCAAGGCAGAGCGTTGTCTTCTTCAGCCTCACCTAGGAATGTATTGCTTGGGCGACTCAAACGTTTCGTCTGCTCAGGTCTTACCACGAAAGTGCTGCGGATACCTGTTTGGGGTAACAACCTTAAGCGAGGAGTCAAAGTGGCACATGGACTCTTGAGAATGAGTCTCGACCACACAGGTTTTAATGAATAATCTTTCTGCTTCCTATAGGATCGTAAAGGGTCACTTCTGCAAACTTGGCATATTGCTTTTATTTGTTGTGTACACTGTAAGTTGGTGAAATTTCTATAATCGAAACATTCAGTTTTAAAAATCTGATTGCAACAGCACATTGTTAGGAAATGAGAAAACCACCATATTTTACGGTGCCAATTTATAGTGTCGGCCCACATGCCTAAAAGAGTCCTTACAATAAAATTATTATATG